AGGAACAAAAAGATTTACTCCAAAGGCCAGTCCTCCCCCTCTTCATCTCGGTCACTCCTCTCCTCCCTCAACGTCCCCTCTTCTCCTCCACCCCCCTCCCCAGCACCCTGCTCTTTCTGTGGTATCCAACCAAAATCTACTGGACCATTTCAGGAGTTGCATTACAGCTTTCTATTAAAAAGGGTTATTTAAAAGAAAAGTCCATGTGAAGCTGACAATTGAGCGGCCCGACCAAGCAAGGAGGCAGAGGCAGAACGTCCAAAAATATAACCCGGTGTGGGCATTTATTAAACTTGAGCACAGGACACAGCCTCAATCTTGCTGTATCCGTGAGCACAGTCACCAGCCACAAGGATCTCACACACCTCTTTCTCAAACAGAAAAACCCCAGAGCCTAAATACACACACTAATCAATCAACAAGACACAGGTGAGGGGGAAGGAGACAACACAGGGCACCAGGTGAACACAATCAACCACAATGAAGCTATACAACCCGTAACGGAGGCCGAGATCTATGGGCCCAGAGATCACCTCTGTGACAGTTCAAATGATCTGTTTAACCTTTTCCTATAGCAGCAGCTTGCCGTTATGCTTTATGGCACAGTGGCTGGTCAGAAATGGGTTTGGATATGAAAAAGAGTGCAGTCCTTCTGTTCTTTTATTTCCCAAGGACTCTGGCTGGAGGTCGTTTGGCAGACGGAGGGTTGTGTGACCCCGGCCTTCTGGAGGTCAGTTTCTTGCACCTAGAAATCCCGCTGTGGCCATTATGCCTCTCCCTTGAGCCCTGTGGACTGAGACCAAACTTAAACTGACAGCAAGGTAACCCAGGGCAACAATTCATGCTAGGGCTAGCCTCTGTTGCCTGTCTGTGTTGTTGGAGGATACAAATAGTCTTTTATTAAACAAACTGAATACTGCTCAGGGTTTTTACTGTATGGGTTTGCCTTCCTACGTTTAGCTTATGTAATCGAGCAGCTGGCTGCTGCAGGCTTTCATTGAGACCTTTGAGATGAGGTCAAACAGCCTTGAGGAAGGAGGCAAAAATAATCAGTTTCAGGTCAAAAGACAGCAGATAAACAGGTTTGTCCTTTTGCTGATATTACAAGAACTCCAATACTCTGTACCGATTTAGTAGTAGCAATGGAAGTTCTCCACCCACCTAATGTGTCTGCCAACTCACATTTGGGCCTTCCCACCCACGTCCACACTCATCTACGCACAGACATGCACACAATCACAAGGCAAATAAGAACAGAGTGTCCAGATATAGTAATAATAATAATCTTATGCCGTGCCCTGGTGTGCCAGCTGTGTTGGACGTTTTCTGGCACACAGAGCAACATGCTGTATTCAGCACTAAGGATCTCACTCAATTCAATATTCTGGATAAATACTACATTCAATTGAATATTGTGGATATTTTCAGATCACAGTCATGTGTAATGTGTCATTATTTTTGCACAAAAAAAGGCTTATAGTTCCATATCTGCAAAGCAGTTTTCCAATGGAAAATAAAAATAATTGCAAGAACTGCAAAAAGTATTATGTAAGCAAAATGTAATTTTTTTGGTAAATGGGCAAAAAACATATTGTTGACCTTTTTTCATTTATAGGTTCAACTGCTTTTTTATTTTTGCACAACCAGCTGTTAAAATTGAGATAGAAAACTAATTTGTGGGGTGTAATGTAGAGCACTAACATGCATACCACGTCACTGTTATATTACTGCGTCACAGGCCTGTGTTAAATGTCATTCCCCTTTCAAACGCTTTCCTTCGTGCCTCTCTGGGATTACTTTTAGAGAAAAACAAATGTGAAAATGCTTTTTTTTGGATTCTCCCTAGGAACTCCTCAGCAGTGTTGAGTACTAGCAGCATTTGGCATAGTAACACACAGTTTATTCCTCTCATAAATCTTCAGTATAACAGCAGAAGTCAGGGAATGCATTACCCTCGGTAATATATGAATCATATTTTGACTTTAAATCTGACGTATTAAGATATTTGGTAGCAATATCCAGTAAAATCCTCCAGGCCCAAACAAAGTTATTGCCAGTAGACTAAACGTTAAAAAGCTAAAGAGCTTATGGTCCCGTCTCACAGAGGACTCAGTCCAGTTAGGCCACGAATCAAAGCAAAGGCCATGGATTTAACTCGCAATGACCTATTTTCACTGTCAGCATTTTATCAGAGGACAAAATGGTAGTTTCTGGCTTTGTTTGCAGTTGTTTATCACAGTGTGCATGTTACTAAGACTCATTTTATCTTACAGACATTCTCATGCATTTTGTCAGCTTTGCCTTCATCCCCATTGTGAAAAACGTTAAGAATGTAGTTATAGCTTGCAAAGTCAGAAATACAATGTGAAGTTGTGTTATGGGATTAATGTTTCCAAAGGCCAAGTCTTGTAACATCTCTTGCAGGAAAATCGCTTAAGTGAGCATAGCAGCCTAAACAACATTAAATAAAGACTGCATTAAAAATAAATTGTGTTTGCTCTGCATTGGTTGTATGTTTGCTATTTTGCCATAAAGAAATGGACTAAATTGTAAATAAGCAATATTTTAAATCTGGTGATGTATAAACTTGTTATCATCAAACGGTTTGTTGATGCAGAATGTTTAGCAACTTATAACATACTTTAAGTATGTCACCTATTTTTTTATTAATCAAGTATGCACCATATGACGTACCGTTATTTATTATTCTAAGGAGATAATCCAGGAGGCAATACTCCTCCTATAAATGTGCTTATGTGTGTAATGATGCGTTATAGGCCAACATGTATATAATAGCTTTTTCAAAGAGATGTCATCACTGCCATATTTATGTTACAGGTGTAAATGTATATGCCACCATTGCAATTCATTGTAAATCCATGCTGTGACACAAAAGGTCATAGACCATAATGGTGATCTGATACTAAGTAGGCATTGCAGAGACTGTCTCTCCAGAACATTGTCTCTGTGTGTGTGTGTGTGTGTGTGTGTGTGTGTGTGTGTGTGTGTGTGTGTGTGTGTGTGTGTGTGTGTGTGTGTGTGTGTGTGTGTGTGTGTGTGTGTGTGTGTGTGTGCGTGCGCTGAGGGGTAGAAGGCTGTTTAGCCCCGTCAGCAAAGCAGCTCTTGTCCTGTATCACTCCCAAGGTGACTCTCTGCTGTTGGCAGGCAGAGCCCTGAAATCTCAATCTCTCTCTCTCTCTCTCTCTCTCTCTCTCTCTGCTTCTCCTACACACCAATCATCTTTTAGATACCGCTAGGTAATGTGCTCTTGTGTCTTTTTTTGAGATGTCAAAGTACATTTTTGACTTTCCTTTTTTTCTCTTCTCCATCCTCACCTCATTTCCATAATTAAAGGGAATAAATAAAATGCTAGCAATGACAATACAACTCATGGGTGTATTCATTACAATTCTGTACAATGCATGTGGCTTTGTGTACAGTCAGACTTAGGCTTTGGCTCAGTGCCAACACACAAGCACATGACCTTTTCCTCACTCTGTTCTCGTAGTGGAGAGCATCCACCTACACTGCCGCAAACACACCTCCCACACAATCTCTCTCACAGGAAGACACATTTTACTTTGAGAGGCTTCGTCTGTGAATCTGTGTGAGAGATTTTAGCCGGGAAATCAAAACTAAGCCATTCTGTGTTAACAGAACTTCAGTGTAGACCCTGCAGGTGTGTGACTGCAAGTGTTAGTAAATAGGCCATTGTCCTCTGTCTTCAGTAGGTCATCTATTTTAGTCCAGGTTAATTCTCTACATGGGAGTAGGTGTGCTATTTTCCTCTCTCTGTGTGTCTTCCTGTTTCTCTGTCTCTCTATTTGTCTCTCTGGCTCTGTCTCTCCCTCTCTCTCTTTCTGTTAATTGATAAAGAGGATTTAACCGGCGACTGCGGCTTAAAGCAGAGACTGCATCCACCAATACTTACTTTGGTGCACACAAACAGTCAATCAGGAGAGGTAAAACGGCTACTTTAGGATCAGCTTAGGACTGTTACCAACACACACAAACATTTGTGCTGTTATCACTTGAGAGGACACTGAGTTGACAACTACTCTAAGAAGATTGACCATATTCGTCTTTATCTAACCCCAATACTTACCATTCAAATAATGTAACCCTAACATTAAGCAAAACCCAATTCTAAGCCCTAAAATGGGTGGTTTGCCTAATGTGATACTGCTTTCCACCCATTAACTAGGCTGAGTCTCCTAATGTGACAGTTAAACAGCATGTATTCATTTGACTGACACTTGTGTCCAAAGAAAAGGGCTATAATGCAATTCACAGTTGAGCAAGACAAATCCACAGTATGATTGAAGCACACTGACACTTCCAATACTTTTTCATCTTAAGTACTTAAAAATCCATTGTAAACCATAATTAGTATATCTAAATGGTAATCTTTCAGTTAATTAGTATAATAAATCAGTGTGTGTCAAAGCCATCTTCAGGCTTTAAGAGATTATTCCCTGCAGCTGCTAGCAAACAAAACCTGCAAACGATCTCCCATATTCTTATTGATACAAGTGGAATCAAATCATTTAAACAACCACATTTGCCAGAATTAGCACAGACTCTTCATCTCTTATCAACCCTGTACATACACTATGATAACATATTTTGAAAGGGAGTCAAAATGACTGCAGCAAACAAAGTTTAGTCTTCAAATGCCAAGTCTCATTTAAAATAAAGTCCTATACAGATGAAATAATAACTTCATACCCGGCCTTTAATAAACTGCAGATTAGAGAATGTAATCACAGAATTCGATTCTGGTCTTATCATAACCGGAATGCATTTCTAATGGGAACAAATTAAGCAACATCCTCTGGCAGCAGCATCATGATAACCTTCTGTTCCCGGCAACTCCAACACTACTTAAAAACTCAACTCATGAGAATAACACCCAAAATAACCTTCACGGTCCAATCCACCCACAATCCCAAATTACTGTTGACATCCTGAAAGTTGCATCCCATGCAGAGCGGTCTTACCTTTGTGACAGTCATGCAGAATCAGTGGGTGAGGAGCAGGCCAGTGTCCCCTTCAAGCAAAGAGCAACGCCGCAGGAGTGGCAGAGTGATGAGGAGGAGAGAAGGGCAGCTCTGCTGAATATGCAGAGAGAGCGAGAGAGAAAAGAGGAGGGGACAGACAGGTTAGCGTGTCTGGCTCACTCAATACGAGAGGGCTGATTGCTGCTGCTGCAGTGAAGTAACGGCTGGCAAGCCGGCATGCGGTTGGTTACTACAGCAGGGAAAAGCTCTCTTCTAGGATACACCCCCTACCTCTTCCCTCCCTCCCTCCCTCCCTCCCTGCCACACACACACACACACACACACACACACACACACACACACACACACACACACACACACACACACACACACACACACACACACACACACACACACACACACACACACACACACACACACACACACACACACACACACACACACACACACACACTGGAGATGATACATACAAAGTCCAGCTGCCCTAACCTCTCACTCTCTGTCTCTCGCAATATGATTAGTGATGGCTAATACAGCTTATTGATGAGCAGTCAGGCAGGGCAGCAGGAGGAGGCGGAGCAGTGCTGCCTGGGACAGGAGAGGACTGCAAGAGAGGGAGGGAGGGAGGGAGGGAGGGAGGGAGTTGGATGCTGTGTCGCAGTCTGCTCCTTAGGCATGAGGCTAGCTGCACGTCATCCGGTGTGTATAAATGTATGTGGGTCTGTAAATGACGGGAGGTAACAAGAACATTTTAGGAGCAAACTAGGCTGAATGTATTATTTCTAAAGGTGAAAATATTACAGAGACCTTGGCAGACACACAGGGACATACAAAAAGGAATACACACAATGTTGAAGCTAAAAATCTGTACTTATGGACACTCTTTGAGAAAGATTCTATTCTGACCCTACACCATATTGCATAGGGCAAACATTCAAAATTACTTTTCATCACTGTTTGGTGAAACCATAGTGATGTAATTGTATCACGTTCTGCTGTTTAAATGAATGACTTTAATGAAATCTGAATGAAATCGGTCTTAAGCTTTTGTCATGCACGTATGAGTTTTGTCTGAGTATTTGCAAACATTCGCCATCACAAATTATTCCTATAAATATCATGACACTGATTTAAACCCTAGACACAGCCCTAAACCTGATGCAAATGCAAACTGTAATTCTTATGTCATGCGTCATTTTCTTCTATGTTACTCTTAAGCCTTGAATCAAATTTTATTTTCTAAATAAATCAGACACAGCGTGAAATCTTAGTGTTTGGGTACCTTATGTTCTGTGGAAGGAAGGTAGGTATCCTCTAATTAATGTGCAAGTGGAGAGGACATGAGTATAGAAACACATAGGCACCCACCCACCCTCACTCGAGCAGTTATACATCTTTGTCATACTTATTGTGTAAATACAGGATGCTAGACACTGGCCAAGATTCCAATTCAGTTACCATGGTTCAATTTCCCATAGCTGTGTGAGACTCTTCTCTAGTGGCTGCAGCCCACAATACTGGCTTTGTTTAGTGCATCTATATGTATGTGTGTGTGTGTGTGTGTGTGTGTGTGTGTGTGTGTGTGGGTGTGTGTGTGTGTGTGTGTGTGTGTGTGTGTGTGTGTGTGTGTGTGTGTGTGTCTCTCTGTGTGTGTAGTGTACTGTAAATGTCCGCACATGCTGGAGTAAAGGTCATTAAAAGTCAGAAGGGATCTGATACTGAATGACATAATAGAAAGTGTCCATTGCAGGAAGCTCATTATGGATTTCTCTCTTACTGTGGTTGTATCACACACAGGACTGGGACATTTGCCACGGCAATGATTAATTTATCTTCCATTTTATGACATATGGAAAATAGTCAAGACCTGCGGTATCAGCATACACGCGGTTTGATTGGCTAGCGCTTGTACTGGCGGGAATTGCATAAACGGGATTTGATTGGCTGATGCCAAGCATCGAGCCTCAAAAGTTGAACATTGTTCAACTTTTGATGCCGATCGATGCTCGTGATGCTTGCAAAGCCATGCCATGCTCCCCACAATGCAGTTCGGCGAAGATTCAAAATCTTCTACGTCACCCCATTCAAATGAATGGCCGAAGCGTTGAAAGCATTTTTCGATGCCTGTAGTGTAGACGGGGCATCACCCTCAATATCAGTCTCTATGCGTGTCATCCATGGTGTCATCTGTGGCCCCACTCTGGGCATATCCTGTCTGGAACAATAGCATTTCCTGTGTCTGTGAACACATTATGGGAGGTGGTAGAGTTTGAAAAAATGTCAAGTGAATTAAATAAAGATTGTTATGAAGTTAGTCATTTCTCCAACTTGCATGAGCATGATCTAGTGTGAAACTTACTGGGTGTGCCATGGCAATATAATGTAGAGATGCATTTTTTCACGGTGTTGGAAGTACGTAATCCTTTCAGTATACTTCAAATACAAGGTGGTGGAGGAACTGACATCATTGGGCGGAGGTGGCAAAAACAGGGACCTGCAGACCAGAGGAAGCCATCATGTCTCACGTGTTCCATCAGACATCTACATGATCCCTAAAAGAAAATAGAGTCGTCGCAGCCATTATATGAGGGTGGCACTTTTCAAATGATTAGTTTAGACCCCCCCACTTTTACCATGTGGAAAGTGAAAGTCCGTGAATCGGTCTCTCCACTCGCCGCACTTTGTAGAGCGCTGTGTCAGTGCTTCACTATCAAATCCATTCCACTTGCTTATTGAGAGAATGCCCAAATCAATGAAACTCCGTACCATGTTTTCACTGCTACTTTGTACCAAGGCAGATTCTCACATAGCGCGCGCATGTTCAAGGAGTGTTGTCATAGTTGGACAGCTCAGATCTGTTGTATGAAGCGATGCCGGTAGTGGAGGTAATTGGCACACACACAGGGCCGCCCCTGGCCAACTTGGGGCCCCAAGCGATATTGTGAGATGAGCCCCCCCCCCCCCCCCCCAACCGACAGGAGTGGAAAATGTTTTTTTGGAAACAAAGTAGGCTACTTTGCAAATATAATTCCTGTTTATTATTATTATCAACAGTTACTTTTTTATACAGTGAGGTAAATGGTAAATGTGCATGTATGTCGTTCAGTATGCGTTTACAGGTGAATACGTCTGCATTTCCTGCCAAATACTAGCCTCAAAAAGATTAAAATATAATGAATGCAAATAAACTACTTCTACTAATAATAATAATAATAATCATAATCAATTCAATAATATAAATACTATATTATTTTATTATAATATAGTTGTAATATAGTCAAGACAAAACATGCTTATGACATGCTCAAAAACTGATACTTCTTAAATCTGTATTCAAATGTAGTTCCCTCTGTCAGCAATGTATCAACAACTACACACACATTTCTATCAGTATTTCTCTGTGTTGTGGTTGACATGATGATGACTGTTAGGAGTTAAGGGGAGAGGCTGAGCATCACCATGAAATGTGCAAATTGACATAAAAATGAGTAAAAGGGGGAAAAATGCTCCATGTTTTTTAGGCTGTAAACTTTAACTGTTAGTAAGCCAACTAGAAAGACAGTTTATCACTCTTCCTCCTGTACATTAGCAGATAAAAGGCATCACATACTTGAATGAATGGTAAATAAAGAATGCTGGAAATAACTGCATCCCCATTAGCCTATATGCTATGCAGAGACTGCCTTCTTCATGTCGTGAATTGCAGCTGATGTTTTAATATGGCAATTGGCAATTTGACTTACACAACATTCGCAAGTTGTACATTTGACTCATACAATAACCCACCTTCGAGTGATGCTCTAGTTTCTTCATGTTTTATTTTGTTCCCTCTTGCTTGTGCCGGACTGAAACTGTCTTTTCACCGACATCTCTTCACCTGCACTAGTGGCCGTATCAAAGCCGTGATTGGTCAGATGTCGATTCATTGCAACGGTGTCGGGTTACAGACGTGCTCCCCTTGTCATCTCTCACTCTCACTGGGGGTGCGCGGAGAACTGAGCGGAGAACTGCGCACAGCAGTTGAGGCCCTATGGGCGGGGCCCCCTGCGCAAGGCGGGGCCCCATGCAGCCTGCGTGATTGGCCTGTAGGGAGGGGCGGCCCTGCACACACACCAAATGTTCAGGAAATGGTTAATACAGCGAAAATCAAAGCTGACGATCTCTTGGTTTGATATGTTTTCTCCCCCAGACAACATGGACATAAGAACTTTTTTTTCAAAGAAGAGGAAAGTAAGTCATCAGCTGGTAGCAGTTAATCAGTTAACAGTGATGGCGGCGGCGGCGGCGGCGGCGGCGTCTCACTTATGGAGAGGAGTTTCGTCTTTATGTCATGATAGAGAGACACACATACTGAATAGTTTAGATGAGAAAAGGCATCGAAATGCCAGGTTACTAGTATTTATCATGTAAACAGGGAAAATGAATAACCCGATATCTGTGCTCATGTAAACACCATGATGTCCATGTAGAGATGCAGTCAGTGTGTTTTACTGGAGCCTCAGTTCGATAAGAGATTATTTTCTGAATTCTTTAACTTCGGTACTCTCTCTCAAAATGGTAATGTGCATTATATTTGAATTATACTTCTTATCATTCAGAAGCTTTTTGTGTGCGTTTATGTTTTACTGAGTGCTTATAGGCAATTTCCATCCCAGTATTCAGTTAACTATTTATTTTATGTGCACATTACATAGACTAGCTAATATTCTACCTACTGCTTGGGACTTTGAGTCTTCAAAATGTCCAATGTCACAGACTGGGACTTACTTTAGAGTCAGTTGTATTTACATTCAGTATGACTTGTTATGATTCAATGTGAAAGAGTATACTGCTCAATAAATAATGATCACTTCACCACCTCTCTTGACATCTAGGCGCTTGAGAGTGAGTCAGAGGCAGAACACAGGGACAGTGGAGAGAGGTCCATTGCTGAGGTGAGTGATGAAAGGGAAATGACAGTTTAGAGTAAATTGTGATGTGGACTCTCATCCCAGAATGTTAAGGAAATCAGTGGGGATATTGAACAGGAAACATTTCAAATCAAATCAAGTTTTATTTCACATTTATAAACGATTTTTGGTCGAGCCAAAGTGCTGTACATATAATAAAAATAGCCTACAGTTATCCCCGGTAATAACTGTAGTATTATAGTCAAGGGGCATCATATGACCAATATAGATGGAAGAGCAACATTTATTTGAACATTTAAGTCAATGATACCATTCCTAGGTGAACTTAACATCTGTATGGAGTCAGATCAGTCTCAATATTAATAAATGCTCACAGAAGGATTCACAAATGTATTTTGCGATTTATATATAAATGATTCTCCACAACAATGTCTCTCAATGCACTCACACATATTTATTGTTGCATATAAATGTACCAAATGGTCATTTAAACTGCTTTTTATTCATTCAAAGACAGCTCTGAATTAATAATCAAATATGTTTCCTTTCTTTACTACTGGATGAAATTACAAAATGTACCCATCATTTCCCTCTTGCTAGTATAGCCACATAAAAGTATCAAACCACCTTAAAATGCACCAGAATACAGGAAATCTATTTTTTTTTCCGTGGGG